TTATTATTATTATTATTATTACACATAGCTATTGTTATGAAAAAGTTAAACTGGCTTTCACATGAGCCTTGTAATTGACGGTCCTCAGGGGTTCAAAAAAAAGTTACGTGCTGCTTCAGAAGTGTCCCGCTGGTGTTGGACTTATATCACTTATGGGTAACAAATGAATAACTTACCTGAAACATATCTGAACTGATGCATAAATTATTCGTAGCATAACTGTAACTTAAGCTTCACTTATCAGCAGCATTTTGGCGTAAGCTGACAAAGTTTGAACATGACCAAAATTATTGTCCGACCATCAGTCTGACAACTTATTCACAACTTACAACTAACTTGTGCAACTTACAGCAACATGTTGGACAAAATTGGCATAAGTTGTCTAAAACGTCATAGTGTGACAGGGCCTTAACATTGGCAAGTCAGGCTTTAGACATAAGGTGAGGAGTCTCAAAGAAGACTTCTCTCCGTCAAATGTAATCAGCTGAAGTGCTTCAACCATCTGATTAGGATGTCTCAATGCCTCCCTCTGGATGTTTTTCTTGGTACAACCCACTGTGGAGGAGACCCTAAAACTCACTGGTGGGGTTATGTGTCCTGTCTTGATTTCTGTTTTGTTTTATTTTAAAAAGCTGTCCATTTTAATAATGTGTGAGAAATCCACAATTTTTGTTTATTCAGTGAGTATTTCATACAGCTGGCAAAATAAATTGTTAAAATATATTAATCTACTTCATTTTTTCAGTCAGTATATTGAAAAAGATTAACCCTTCATGTTATGGAAAGATAAAGAAAGAGAAAACTCAAGTTTTTATAAAAATGGCCACTTATCTGTTAATCGTTAGTCAATCGATTAGATCAATCAACTTTAGATTAATTCATTAATTGATAAATTGCATCCCTAGCCAAGAAAGAACAATTATCATGTTAATTTTGACTGAAATCAATTGCTCTATTCAGGAGATACAGTGCACACAAGACTGTGACGGACACCTGGTAACGCACAGACAGACAACCAGAGAACAGTATGCCTCCTCGGGCAGAGGCATAATCAGTTAATGCTGGGTTTTTACTCAGACATGACAGTGAATAATAGACTAATGACTGAAATCATGCTGCGCTGTGACCCACAGTGCATCATTTCCTGAGCAGTCTTGTGGTGTTTTGGCCTCAGTATTTTTTGCAATGATTCAATGATTCAAAAGTCAATCTAATTGTATTTATGACAATTTATAATTCAAAGAGATAAATTCAATCCGATCCTGACACAAAGAAAACAAATTAATGAATAAATTACCTGTCAGAGGTCCGTTGACCTGCTGCATGTTGCCCAAGATTTTCTGTCCTAGAACATGAATCAGCCTGGTGACAACCTGAGGATATCTCCTCTTGATGGAGTTCAGAGCTCCTTCAGGCAGCTTGGCCAGCTCCGAGTCTCGGACAGCGTGGACTGTGGTGGCTCGGTTCATGTGTGTCAATGCCTCCACCTGGTAAAACTCAKAAAATCTGTGAAAACCTTCTCTTCTGCTCAAGATCATCACAAATAATTATCACAGTATTGTGCAGGATGCCACACTTATGACAGCTCACCACACCAATCAGATCGCCACGGCCATACTCCTCAGCAAGCTCCTTCTTCCCGTTATCTTTCGCAATGACAGAGCGAAGTCGCCCGCTGAGTACGATGAAGGTACTATCTGACTTGTCTCCTTGTCTAAATGGTTAAATGCATTAAGAGAAAAAATTTATTTTGTTAGGTTTAGTCAAGCTCAATATGAATAAAAACCTAAACTGAAGTAAATTTGATGGGTTCCAACGCAGCCAAAATGACATTTACTTTGTGATATTCTAATATAAAAATGCCTATGTTCTGATATGTTAAATGTTTAGTGCCTTGTGTGGGTCAGAACTAGCTTGGTAAAAACCCAGACCCTTGTCCTTCACTTTGCGTCGAATGAGGGTCTGGACTCGCGGCTACAGAGAAGTGATTCTTGCTGGAGGCGTGGCCCCTGCTGAAGTTTAAAATGATTGGATCGGTTGGCCGTGATGTATGTCTCTATGAAGGAAGCTAAGCTAAGAAGCTAACCGGAAATCGCGTGCGCTGTAAACAGCTCTACTGAGAGGAGAAAAGTACCGAGCCGAACGAGACAGCTGTAAATGAGAGCTGCTGCTTTGTCAGACAAATTTAATTTAATTTGGAAGCCTTATCKACACAGACTGACTTCATTCACTTCCTCCACTGCCATAGCTAAACTAACTAGCAGACACTGCGCAGAAAATTGACGTTCTGTTCTCTGATTGGCCCAGGTAAAATAAACTACAAGCAGACACTGCGCAGAAAATTGACGTTCTGTTCTCTGATTGGCCTGAATGAAATGCTCCCGAAGAAATCCTTGTCTTTGGGAGAAATCCCAGACTGAGCAGTGAAGGGAAACTAGATTTGAGTGGAACTGCATAGGAAGGCAAGGGCCAGGCTAGGCCAGAACTGGGCCAGACAAATTTATCTATGTGCAGAACACAAGCTAGAAGCTAATATCAGCAAAACAGCATTAGAGATTAGTAAAGCAGTAGCTGAACTTTGCCAAACTAATGCTAAAGCTAAAGTTAGCAATACAGATGCTAAAGTTCACAAAGGAGTACCTAAACTTCGTTACATATTCTAAAACTAGTTATCAAAACTGCACTTCACATAAAATATAGCAAAAACATAGCAAAGCAAATTTAAGCAAAGTTGTGTTCAAGCAAAGTTAAAATAAGCTAACAGCACTGAAAAACAAAAAGGAGCTAAACAGTTGTAAAAGTAGCAGAATGTTAGATAAAAATTCAAAGTAGCATAAGATAAAAATGTACTGGAGCAGATTTCAAAGTGAGCAATGTTTTTTAGATCTCAGAGTATTTCTTTGAGGGACTGTAAAGTTACAAGAGAACCAAACGTATTTTCTGTTTGAGCTGAATATTTTGATATACAAATTATTAAAATGTCAGTGTACAGAAGTAGTCTGACTGCAAAATCATACAGGAGAAACTACAAGGAGGAAGTGAATGATGACTCAGTATTCACACAATCAGAGTGTTTTAATGCTTCATCTCTAATTGTTTCATACACACACCGTTTGTGTTAAACAGTGAGTCCTCAGAGTCCACACCTGTAAACAGCTCGACCAGCCTCCACTGCTACCCAGTCCAGGGCGAAGTCGATTTGCCTGACAAATGATGACATCCTCTTCACTACAGTGTGAGCTACGTTCAGGACCACCCGCGGCTCCTCACGCATTATCCTGCAGTGATCCAAGCACATGCATTTAATCCTAACAACGTGCACGTGAGGCAGAAACACTTACTGTAACTTGTTCTGTCTGTGATCTTGGTCTTACTCGTAGAAATGGGCCTTGGACACAGAGAGGAAGGTGCAGTCTCTGTGAGCACGCACAGTGAAGATGAGGGGCTCCCCTGTGAGGACGGCCAGGTGACCCACCATCTCCCCAGGGTGAGTGACAAACAGCAGGCTCTCGTCCTCTCGATCTATCATGCGCTGGTACACGTGGAGCAGCCCAGAGATGACGAACGCCACACTCACATCCTGTGGGAGGTGGAGAAGAAGTGTGGATGAAGATTAACTCAGTGGCTCTGTGTTTTCTTCACAGCTGGTTTCAGTTGACCACATGGACCCCAAGGCCCTGTACACTTCAGGCACACACACATTCACACATTGATGGTGGTAAGCTACACTGACAATTCAAAGCTAAAAAGAGAATGATGAAGCTACGCTGCCATGCACCAGCACCACCAGACCCCCTGACCACAAGGTAGGTGGTGTCTTGCCCAAGAACACAACAACTGAGATGGCTGGAATGGGGATCAAACCAGCAACAGGACGGTTACAGGACGACTCCCCTAAGCACTCAACCACAGCCGCCCCCAGGAAGTATAAAACTCATTTGTTGGTGCATCATTTATTTTAGTTTAGTTTATTAATTTCTTTAAAAACAACAACATAAATTCAACAACAACAAAAATACAAATCATAAATTAAATGAAAGGTAGCAGAAGAAGAAAAAAATCTTATTATATCTGCCCCTTTWTCTCAAARAAATAAATTCAATCAAAATAATCTACAGTTTTTTTATGTTAATTATTCAGGCTATACCAGTGTAGAGTTTTATTATAGTACTAAAACAATTTGTCTCCTTCATTGCTTATTTGTCCAGACCAGTGGTGGATGCTGGTCTTTCAAGGAGGGGAAGCTCAATTTCGGCCTACACAGGCGGACACACTAGTGTGAAGTGTATCCACTGCTTTGTGACAGTGGAGGGGCTCAGCAGCACCCACTGGACAGAAACTGCGACAGAAGTCAGAAAGAGTGATAGAAGTCAGTCTCCAAACACAAGCAGCTACAAAAAAACCACCAGAAATAGAAGTTTGATTTGTCACTATTCATTTTTAACAAAGAAAATGCTGTTAAGACAGGGCTATTCAACTGGCGGCCCGCAGGCCGGAGTGACCAAAGTTCGGCCCGCCAATTGGTTCACTCATCTCTTAAGCCCAAATCCCCGGTTTTCTACTTTAATTACTTTGAGTTATTTTAGTTAAACCTAGACATGTTTGGTATCTACAGAAACGTCAGAATGTTGGTTACAAGCTGGTAAAACCATTTCTATGAACATCCAAGACAGTTACAAGCAGTACAAGCAGTTGAGGATAAAACTATGAAAGTGAGATGTCAAAATATTTTGTGGTAAATAAGAGGCATAATTTGTTTCTTTTTTGTTTGTTTGTTTTATCATCACTGCATTTATTAAATAGGGTTCTGTATGTTTTCATGATTAAATACAGCAAAATAAACTATTTCAAAGGAAACAGATCTTTGTAATACTTAGTTTATTTACATAACAACTTTAATTGCTGGATGTTCGGCCCCTGAGCTGTTGGTCTGCATTAACTGTGGCACCCGGAGCAATTTAGTTGAATAGCCCTGCGTTAAGAGGATTAGGAAAGTCTCCGGTTCAACTCAGAGCAAAATGAAACAAAAACATGCTCCCACGGAATGTTTACACCAAAAGATCGCTGATTCTCTCATTTCGCTGTCAATCAAAAAGGGATTCAGCCTCAGACAGATCATCCAATTATCATGCAGAAGCTGAGAGTCTGGGTCAGCCGAAGTCAGCCCACTGCCCCATAGACCCCCAGAGACGCTGAGTGTCCGATGGGCGGGACAAAGCCAGCATTTATTCAATGACTCGTCTTGTTTCGCTGCAATCTTTGCTTCACTATTGAACTCTGTAGACGCTCAGCGTCCACACTTTTTAAAGCACTGTGAAGCTGCAGGAATGAGAGGAAAGCCGCATCATTACCAGTGATAAGAAGCTGATTATGAACAAAAGTTGAGCACGTTGTAGCTCTTATTTAGTCATGACATGTACTAACAACATTATTTATTTGATCACTTTTTTTTTACATTTTAGGGGAAGCTGAGCTTCCCTTGCAGTCAGAGCAATCGCCACTGGTCCAGACAACTACTGAAACTTGCAAAAAGAATTTAAAAAGACCCCAAACTGGTATTTCATAATTTTATGAAAATAAATAAATTATGTTGTGTTCATATATTATTATTCTAATTAAAATCACCTGGTCTCCTTGGTGGCCAACAACAGAACCAGCTTTGACCTGACGAAGTGTCACCCTTCCTTCCAACAGACTGGGGTCCTGGTTCCAACAAATGAAAAGGAAAAAATGTCAAAACAGACAGATGTCAGGTTGTTCTCACAGAAATACTTTATACCCGTTAGAGCTCAGTTATTGTTTGTTAGCAATGCTCAGCCGTTAGCAATGAGACGAGGAACATGATGTTTTATGATTAGTTGAAATTAAACATGAAACGTCAAATCTAATTACAACTGGCCCTTTGAGGGCCAAGATAACGCTCATGTGGCCCTCAGTAAAAATTAGTTTGACACCCCTGATCTAGACTGACTCAAACAATTTCAGACTCAGTGTTTTCAGAATCAGAATTAGAATTTTATTGTCAGTCACACACATCAAGATGCAGTGTAGAACGAAATTTGCAGTTTAGAACATCCGTCCGGAGAAACACACACACGACAAACATGGGGGAATGAATGTCCAGGGTCTTTCGCAACTTAGTGTGCTACTTTTGCAGTTTAGAATGCACACACATAGGAAGGGTGAGTTAAAAAAAGAGCTTTGCTCCTGTGTTTTATAAAGAAAACACACAAACATACGCACAAAAAAACTACTCTGCATACAGTGCAGTAAGCTAAGGAGGGGAGAAGGGTGTGGGGTCAAAAACACATGGTATGGGGAGGGGTTCAGCGGAGCCGGTGACATCCAGGGTAGTACTCCATGTTGGAACCAATCAGTAGACCTCCAGAGTCCAAACAAGTTGTTATCGGTGAAAGCACAAGTCACTAGAGTTCAGTTCTCTGTCTCCACCCAACGCGGCCTTCAGACCGATCCAAGCACGGGTGAAGCGGGTAGGGATGGGGATGGGGTGGGGGGAGTCAAGGCTTTCTTCTCACGTGTCATTCCAGGGAGGTTTTATCAGCTTGCGTCCAAGGACACAGCTGCAGGGATCCAATGATAAACAGAATTGTTTGGGGCAAGCAGCCTGATTTCTCTGCTTTGAGTCTTGAGCCTCTGTGTTGCAAAAAATGCCAATATTCCAGATTCATTTACCTCCTCACCTCTCACCGTATGAAACTTCACCCAGGTGTAGCCTCACTCCGCACGAGCACGCTGCTGAACTGTGATCCTCGCCAGAATCACATCCAGTCTGCGACTTATATCCCCCAGCATTTGAGTCTGTGCATTTGCAGTACGGGAGATCCCATCCAAGGTCCCTGACAGCTTTTCACAGGCCAGGACTGCTGTCAGAATCGTTTCCATTTTCCTATGAACCAGGACTCCTCCACAGCCGATCAGCAGGAATCCGATTATCATAAATCCGAATATAAACAAATCTTCAATGTCCTCTATGGAAAGCGGGGCCAGGCAGACGAGGTTCCATCCCCAAGACCCAGACACATGGCCCGCCGCGACAGTTCCATTGGGACAGCTGCGCTCCCCTCATTCCAATCTTAGTGTGGAAAAAATAGTGTCGACTGCATTCAGAGACCAGTTGACCAAATCCATAATTCCATTGTTATCGAATGATGGGTAGAAGAAAGGCTTGATCCAGCTGCAAAGCAGGGAAAGAGGGACAGGTTTGGGAGAGAGAGCAAAAAGCGTCCGACTCCTTTGAAGGCCAAGCAGAATTTTTTTTTCACATTTAAGAACAAAATCTGCTGTCAGACTTCGAGGTTGACGAGGTTCAACAAAGATGCTATGGCATCAACCTCACCATCTGAGTAAGGGTATCAAGCCCTAAGGGTGGGAATCTTTTACCATCTCACTATTCGATTTGATTTCGATTTTTGGGGCTARGATTCGATTCAAAATTGATTCTTCATTCTAAACTGATAATGTGAGTCCATCTGTCGTGTTCCTAAACTGCTACATTTTCATTTTGCAAACTTTGCACACAGTGAAGCTCATGTCAAACTGAGGCTCTCAGAATCTTCAACAAAGATGGTTAAATCTATATTTCCTTCAGTTTTGCAGTTTCCTCTTTGTTTTGGTGCTTTTTGTGCATGCATGCACTCCAGAACTGGCTCTGTGGTGTCGTCAGGACGTCCCATGTAGTTACAAAATGGAGGCTGACAGCCATTGGACTTATTTATTTATTTATTTAAAATCCATTTTGGGTCATTAAATGAGAATCACAATCCTGATGTGAATCGATATTTTGGTACACTAATAAAAGTCCTGAGTAACAGAAAACAAGGGTAGCTCTYGTATAGGACCTGAGCTTGAGGTGAAGTGCAACTTTCCGTGTAGAAAAAAAGGTAGAGCTGGGTATTTATATTTTTATTTAGTAGTTCTAATTTAACATGTCCATAAGTGTTGCTGAAATGCACTACTGTAATGATGCTCTGTATGTTGACAGACTTCTGATGCAAGACCCGTAGAATAATTAGCACTGTAAGCTACCTGCATTTGGATGACCTGCAACAGATCCTTTTTAGCAGCTTGGAAAATAGCATTGACTTTATTATGGTGGATGCTTCCTCCTCCAGCATCGCTGTAATGGTAAACAGCAGATGGAGTGTATTGCATGGTCACACTCTTCTTTAGAATGGACTGAGGAGAAAGAAGACAAAAACAAAAAGAAAGAGAAGTTCATACATTTGCTGAAAAGCAATCATCCCAGATATTCTATTCGAATCAATGACTTACACAGAAACTAACTAAGCAGTTTGGACTCAAGTAAAACCTTGAAGAAAATTAAAGGCCWTAAATTCCTTGAAATAAAACATATTGCTTTTCTTCTTTTATGCCAGAATTTTAAAGTAAGATCATCCCATGATTAGAAATAGTTATTGGTCAATCCTTGAAAATAACTTCATAAATATGATCTGATACAATATTGTGTCATTTGTTAGATCATGTCAAACTGTTTACGTTGGTGTTGATTCCAGAGGTGGGCAGTAACCAGGTAAATTTACTAAAGTGCAGTACACTACTTAGGTACAAGTTTTAAGAATTTGTACTTTAGTGGGGTTAAATTTTTTTTTTACTTTAACTCCAGTACATTTCAACAAGAAAATAATACAGTTTACTCAACTCCATTTCTCTAAATGCTTTGGTTACTAGTTACTTTGTTTGTCCATGTTTGTGTAATTGCATCTATTTTGTTCCATTGACACACTATAAAATTACATACTACACTTCTATACAGTTAACCTGATAAAAACCAGCCTCTTGTTCTTCACTTTGCTTCATACTGTACATAGTGTCTGGACTCGATTAAAATGATTTATTGTTGGATGTGTGGATTCTGTTTAAGTTTAAAACCACTGAATCTGAGTTTACCCAATCGCTAACGTTTGGTCGTGAAAAATCAACGTCATTGTTCACAACTCCTCCTTCTATTCGCTGATTGGCCCGGGTTGAAATTCTACCAGAGAACTCCTAGTTTAAGGGAGAAAACCCAGATGGAGCAGTGAAGGGAAACTACAATTCAGTGTGACTGTGTAGGAAGACAAGGGCCAGGCTACTATACAGTAGGTGGTGATATGTAGTTTTAAACAGGTTGTAATGTTAAGAAGAAGAAGAATGTTTGTTTTACTTGTTGCCTTATACGTACTTTAGGTAGAGGTATACTAGATGTGTTTTGTTATTAAATTTAGACACATTGGGCCTCATGCAAGAACATGTTCGTATTCTTATCCTAAATTTCTCTTACTTTATTCGTACGAAGGGTTCGTACGAACATGCCACGTCAGATTCAACAAACTCTTCTATCTTCAGGAAAAGGGTGTAAATGAGGAGCGTAAATTCCACCTGTTCGTATCCAGCTGCTCGTGCACGAGATTAGAATAATTACCACCCCAAAAGCACCATTTAAGGCTATGTTTCCTGCCTCAGATACAAGGAAGAGTCCATTCATGAAAAATGACAGCGAAAACTAAAAAGAACTTTACGAGTTCAGAGATTGAAGTCCGTCTGTCAGAGATCCAGAAAAGAAAATCTGTCATTTTTAACAGGTCAGCTGTGGAATAAAATGAGCTGCTAAAAGTATAAACAACTTGTTAAATCATTTTCAGTTATTCAGAAGCCACACCGTCACGCACCATACCCCCCCACCCACGCAGTCTCAAGTGGTCTCAGTTGCGGTTCTGAAACAAGCATTTTAAAATGTTTTCAAAATAAGTCTGGCACTTTGGAGAAAATCCAGGAGTCGCTAGAGGGATTATGTATCCCCTCTGGCCTGGGAACGTCTCAGAGTCCCCCAGGACGAGCTGGAAAGTGTCGCTGGGGAGAGGGAGGTCGTGAATTTTGTTCGTATCTGAAAAAATTCTTAGAATACGAAAACATTGGTGAATGCCACAAATTCTCCTAAATCACTCGTACACACAACTTAAGAACAAATCTGTGCGTATGAACGGTTCTTGCATGAGGCCCAATCAGTTTTATTGGAGTGAAAGTGCATCTAGTTTAATGTAATAAAAATTTTAAATTTAGTGAACTAGTACAAATATTACAAATAACAACTAAAAAGCTCAGTGTGAAATGCTTTGACCAAAGATTAGCTCTAGATCTTCTTAATGAGTCACTTCATACTCGGTTCTATCAAAAAGTCTTGTTCATGAAGTTGTGACTATGTAGAGTCTAAATGAGATGACAGTTTTTATCAAAGGGGTATAATAAGGAAGAAATAGCTTTCTGTGTTGCAGGGGGTTGGCATTCACCCTACAACGAGAGCGACACCGGTTCAAATCCCTGCCTGAGTGCATAGTGTTGTTGTGTCTCTGGGCAAGGCACTTAACCCAACTTCCTCATGTTCTTCATTTTCTGGATGCCTCCACATAAACCCAGTTAGAGCATCCAAGGTTCAGAGAGCTGATGTGTTTGTATCCATCGCTCCTTTCTGTTCTGTGACGTGTTCAGCTCGATGCTGTAAATTTTTGATAAGTGACAGTTTGTTTTCCAGTGAGTGGTGAAAATAAAAACAGCATTGGTCTGCACGTTTCCTGGGGATTTTCCTTTTGAGCCTTCAGACTCTTTCAATCAGCTGATGTGTTCAGTAAATGCTCCTACTTTGTAGTTTGAATTCATCAAATATTAGCTCAGTACTTGTAAAACTGAGTGAGTTACAAGGTAAGGCTAAGGTCGATTAGCTAACAGACAGAAAACACAAACTGAGATGTAAAGACATGATTGTCTTTTGGTGGATGGAAACAATAAAAACAGACCTTCACTTGACAGTAGGGTGCTGTTTCCTCTTTGGCAGATGGAGTCTGTTCATATCCTCTGTTACCTTCAACTAGCACTTCACCTGAAAAACATAAAGGTCATTACAGCCACATGGACAGGTACAGAAGATATAAAAAGCCTAAACTACTCTGGTAAAATGTTTTTGTGATGAAAAATACAAGAAACTAAAAAAAACATTTAAAAACTTTTCCCACCTTTACTGCATCTCTCTCTCTCTCTCTCTCTCTGTGTGTGTGTGTGTGTGTGTGTGTGTGTGTGTGTGTGTGTGTGTGTGTGTGT